ACAATAACAACACAATAACAACACAGAATCCAGCAAATACAACACGCACAACAAGAACAACAAGAACAAATATTAAACACTTAAGTAATAAATCAATCAGATTTTTAGTTTGTACCTCGAGGCCTAAATTTGCGCCTAAAACAAGTAAAGTTATTATTATCATTATTATTATCCGAGCAAACCACATACCATATCTTTGTGTATTCCGTTTACTGTGTATACTGTGTGCCATATGCGTGCCTCGGTTGTGTCAGTTTTCAAACCTCACATTATGCCATCACCGAAATGATGTTTTACTTTACCAGAGGCCCACATGAGAGCGGAGTAGGGCATTTCCAAATCAATTGCTCTACTGTGCTCCACTCTACTATGGGAGAGTTAAGTTACTGCCAGATTCACTTGTGTTCACCAACCAAAGTCTGTGACTATCTGTCATCACTGCGATAGCACCTCGCTTTCATAGCAGCTATACGTGCCTGTGACTGCAGCCAGATTCCTAATAGAATATTTCGTATTATTATTACTATTATTAAATCTAGTTTAACACAAAAGCCCAAAATTGTGTTTAGCCACAAGCTCCGTTTGATTAGATCGTTTTTTCTTCAAATCAGACTTTTTTTACCCTTTTAATTGTTGGCTTTGTTCGTGGTGGGTAAACGCCTTCATTGTCTTAAAATATGTAATAAAATACTTTGTGCCCAATTGAGTGAGGAGTGTGAGATCGATTGCACTGTTTAGTTGGTCACTGACTTATTCGGTTAGGTCAGTCAGTCAGTCACTCAAGTTGAAAATTGATTGATGCAACTTAATGGGCCGCCCTGCCTTACTGCACATAAATCATCATTGATGTGGTTGATTTTTATTAAAATATTACGATTTATTTGTTATTCTTCCAGCGCCGCAACTTCAGCAAAAATGATTAATAATTTATTGATATTATTAAATCAAAGATTATATAGGCACATGTTTCATACATATAATATTCCGACTGAAGTAATTGACAAAAAAAGAAATATTTAACTTCGCTGCATGTGAAAACTGCTTCACTTCAAAACCTTGAAGCAGTAAATGGAAATCTTTAAAAATATTATTTTATAATTAATAATAATTTTATAATTAAAGAATTATAATAAATACATTTTTATAATCAATGATATGATCTAATTATTAACACAGATTAAAAGAGATATATGTACATTTAAACTATAGTTTCTGACGTTAATTTGTAATATACGATTATAGATCAGTTTAGTTGTATTATCTAAAAGATGATTAGTTCAAATTATTAGTATTAATTTTGGCAAGTTTGTTATATTGTTTAGTTAAGCTACCCCGACTAGTAGAGTTAGGATGATAAGCGAAAATTAAACTTTTATTTTATTTAACTTCTATTTGTTTTTCAACGAAAAGACCAGATTAGTCTAAGTAAGACTTAACTAGATAATAAGTTTAATTATAATATAATTATATGTTCAATGTCTTGTATTTATTTTTGTGCTCAAACCTACAGCCTCTTTTTTTATCACTGTCATGCCTTCATAACCAAATAGTGGTTAAAAACCATGTCCACAGTATATCGCGAAATAGCAATACACCGGACATACTGATGGCTAGTCACCAAGGTTTGCACAATGGAATATCGAACAAAAAATCGATTAAAATCGAATCTAAAACTATACTTAACCCTGTTCTGTCTTCTATATTGATGGTATAATTAACTCTATAATGCGCACTATCATCAAATGAATTCATATAAAAGAATAAATATTTAAAAACTTAGAGACATTTTTGATTTAGCAGTAATTGATTGCAATAATGTATGTTTTCTATATGGCGCTTTACAACAGAGAGGAAGTTATCCCGAGTTCCGTGGAAGCCAGTTCTATATAATTATCGGTTCTTAGAATCATTATGGCCTATTTTTATACCACATTTAACTGAGCAAGATGGATCTCAAAATTCGCAATAGCCCTCTAACAATGCACTGCAAGCCAAGATATCATTTAAACCAAATGGGGTTTTCAGTCATCAGTATTTACCTTTTTTCTATTGCGCCTAGTCCACTACATCTATGCAGCCCTATGCCACACTAGGAGAAACGAACACTAAGATTAAGGTACATCTTCCACTGCTATCGTTACGAATCTATGTATCTTAAATGTTACTATTCATTATAATTTCATACTTCGTTCTTCAAAGTAAAATTATGTAGACATTACATAAAGTACCAAAGAAGAATTTCCAAAAAATAGAACAATTATTCAACTAATTCTTTTCTTAAATCAATTCTTTGTTGGTTAAATATTTTTTATTTGATATCTAAAAAATTATTTGAACAAACTATTTGAATAAACCCTTTTTAAAATATTGACTGCAAGTTTTTTGATAGACATAGGGTCTATGTTAAAGGAAGTAAGATATATTGGAAAAATATAATCTATCAAACTTTTAAAATGCCCAACACCGTTTTAATTGCTGTTTTAAGATAAAATCTTGGACATCCTAATTTTAGCAATTTTAGCTAACTTTATCAATATTTAATTGTTTTTATTGGAAAAATTATGTACCTTAATCCTTATATTTATGTTTGTAAGAAATTTTTCATTAAACGATTTTACAGATAAATCTGTATTTTTTTTCGTAATGATGCGAACCTAATCAAAATATCTAATTATAATGTCATTTACATCAGGGAGTAGCATTTAACAAGTGGACATCCAACATAGAGTGATGTTTTTATTTGACATATTCTGACATAATTAGTTAAAAGATAAAAGTTATTAGCTGATACATCAAAAAATTGGAAGTGAGTCGGTTAAAATCACTTGCTTTTCAGTTTATGGAGTTTAAAAATAATCAACACATTTTTAGATCTATAGATATATTGAGTTAGTAATAGCGAAGGGGCTAATAATACACATTGCAAACAAACAATGGACGAACTTCTACAATATTTCCATTACAAAATATAAGTGATACTGCAACATTTTATACGAATCAAACCATTTTACTTGAAACCAATGTTTCAATACAAAAAGTAAGGGATTGAATTATCACCAGGGACCTCCTAAGCAAATCAGATCGTCGGTCAGGGGTTTCTCAACCGTCGGTTTATAGATTGCTATCAGTTCGTGAAATAATGTGTTTTCTTCTTTAACAGTATTATTTTACGAAAAGTCATCATTATCGGTCCTTGCAAAAGACATAGAACATATTACCTATTTGCAGTACGTGCTTGTCAACACAAATCTTGTCAATGATAAAGATGATGGTGCGATTTTTTTTTTTTCAACGTTACCTGAGATTATTTTCCAATTAGGAACGAATTTCTTATTGATTTTGTTTTATTTTTGCGACTCGCTTACAAATGTAGAACACATTTTAGTTTAGTTAATCTCAATATTTTCTCTTGCTTTCTTTATTAATTTATCTTAAAGATATTTACGAACATAACAAGCTATAATAAATCCACTCTTTATATATTTACTTTTTATACATATGTATATATAGTATATTACAATTTATTTAGTTCTACACTAAATAATTATTTACAATAAAATACTTGATTCACTAAAACTTAACATCGTGAAGATTGAAAGTATTTAAATGATGAAGAAGTATTCATTAAAACTTAAGCAACAATAAAATCGACTAAGCGAAACACGCTAAATGCATAAAGAGTTCCTCTCAATATATTCCATTTCTTAAGCAGTAGCATGGGGATGTTGATATGCAGCCGCAGTAGTCCAAGGGTTATGTGGATGATGATGATGATGATGAAATGCCCCAGTAGATCCGTATCCTGTTGTGGATGCATAATCAGCATAAGTAGGATATTCTGATTTCATCTGTCCAATAAGTCCGGCTGGATATGAACTGGCAGCTCCTGATGCCGCATGATGCATATGATTTATGGGGGATGAATTACCACCTGAAGATGACATTGTCAGACCGTATTCAGCGGCAAGTTGTGATTCACTTTGCATAGCTAGTGCAGCGTAGTGTTGACTATTCGTTGTAGAATTTGCTGCACTTGGCTGATGTTGGTGATGTTGTTGTTGTTGTTGCTGCTGCTGTTGCTGAATACTTGAAATTCCTGAGGTAGTGTTTGCATCAGTGGCGGCGGTAATGGCAGTTGAGGGATTGCTGGAGGATGTTTGTTGTTCCAGTATGGCACTTCTACTATGATGATGATGAGTATTCCAGAGATCAAGTGAAGCGGTAGGTTGTTGAGCAGTACTCTGATGTAAGCCACTGTATGAGCTTGTTGTGGACAAATGATGTGGATGGAATAGGGTGGAACTTTGATGGTATAAATTTGAGTATGGGTTATAGCCAGCTGGAATTTCTGGTTGCTCAGTTTTCAATTGTATTTGTGAACTTGGTTGTTGTGGACGCAAGGAAGTAGTTGGTTTAGCTGTTGCTGTGTTTAAAGGAGCAGCCACATTTGTAGTTGACGCAGCTGGAGTGCTGTTGTGAGTTACTTTAGTAGCATTATTAGTATTATTGTTGCTATTATTGTTGTTGCTGTTATTGTTATTGGTTTTCTCTACAGCTTCTTGACTTTTCTCTTGTTTAACAGCTCCTCCTTGTTCCTTGGCTTCTGCAGCTAAAACTTTCTTACTTTTTTTATCCTTGAAGTGTGTCTTTTTATGTTTGCTGAGATGATCGCTGCGTGAGAATTTTTTCGAGCAAATTGGGCAAGCATAAGGGCGATAATTGGTATGAGTGCGTCCATGACGTTGTAATTCATCTGAACGTGAAAAACGTTTGCCACACGTAAGGCAGAGGAAGGGACGTTCTCCAGTATGCCAACGTAAATGTGTTTTTAAATGTGATGCTTTTCCGTAAAGACGCTCACAACCAGGTATATGGCAAATATGTTGTTTACGTCCACGCTCATCTGGACCAACGATTGGTGGAAGACCAGACATTTCATTAGCACAATTTGGACAGGTACAACGTACTGAGCGTCGCTGAAGTTGTGTTTGAAATGCGATATCATCGAAATTGAAACTGGGATACGTTTGACTAGACCAAGGCTGATACAAACGATCCTGATGTGAAAACCATGCACCAGCTGCAGCACTGGCTGACATCCCAACATTGCTATAATAATCGGATGCATATTGAGCATATGGAAATTGTGTTCTGTAAATATCAGATAAAAACGGACACAAATATTAGTAAAAATTAGTGAAAGTTAGTAAAAATGGAAATAGAAGAAAAAAGAAATTTGCAATGTAACATGCACTAGTATTGATGCACTGCTAAATTGCACAGGCAATGAGTGGGTGGATAAACTACCGAATTAAATTTCAGTTGATTAACTTACCGAGTTGGTAGTGCTGTGTATGCAGCGGTGTTCCATGAGTATGCACTGGCTGCAGCAGCAGCTCCTATGTCTGTGTGTGCCGCAGTTGCTGGTGAGCCGGAAAGTGGCGATGCTGAAGTTGGTCCTGTTGCAGGCGGACTTGAGGAAATCGATGCAAATGACTGGGCGGGTGATGGAAATATACTTGGTGACACTGATGCAGATGATGGCGCAGATTGTATGCTTGAATTAGGTGATGCGGAACCTGTGGATGAGGGCTGTGGCGGATATTGCATTTCCATTTTCATTGCAGCAGCAGCAGACATGCTTGATTTGTTATAAAGTGCAATGGATGAGGCAAAATCATTTCCAGCGGCGGCAACTGCAGATGGTGCCATGCTTGCGCTTGATGTTTGAGAAGCAGAGGGCATAACAGCTAATGATGCTGTTGCATATGGATTAAGATAATTGCAAGCAGCGTCGATCATTTTATAGTTTTTTGTTATTTTATTTATGTTTTTATATTACTAAGTGTATATAGAGTACTTGAAGTAGGTATGTGGACGGTTAGAGGTATTTATGTTAAATAATGTTAATGCAATTGTACTTTAAATTAATTTAGAATCCACTTTAAATAAATGCATAATTGTTGTCACTGTGCTGTATGTTTGTTGATAATTCTGTGCACTTTATTTTATTTTAATTTTTTTGTTTTTGTTGATTTATTTTAAATTTATGGCACACTTTTACTTTTGTTTTAATATATATTTATTTTTAATTATAGTCTATTTAATATTACTTGAGGGCACTATTTGACAAACCCTTCTTTTTTATATATCTCATATATATTTTGGTATGGTGTTGTTCTCGTTTCTTGAGTTTATCACGATTTACTGTCAATTAAATAAATTCACTCCTCTTTACTTAAAAATATTTCACATATGAAAGAATGCTGTGCTTCTGCAGTGCAATTTGTATATCATATAAAACTGCTACACTTAAAAAAATATTCGGTATTCGTAAAACAAATGTGTAAAACTTAAAACAGAAACAAAACTTAAAACTTAACAAACTCGATCACGCACAATTTTTATAATTACAAGATATAAAATAAACGTTAACGTCTAAGGTATGCAAGTTCTTTTCGGTATCTCGATTTCGGTATTAACTTCTTAACTTGTGAACAATTTAATAATTTCAAAGTGTGGTAATATAGGGCTAGCAAACAGCCAACAGCAGACGACGACTAAACTGTAAGCAAGATACAACCACCGGTAATTATCGTTGTCGACTGAATACCAAAACGCAGCGAGAGAGTCCAATAACGTACGAAAGCAGAAAGCAGTTTCTCGCTGCCAGCAGCGACGCAGGCAAACGTTAGCGTAGTAAAAGTTTATTTGCTTTAATTGGTGTGTGCGGTGTGTAGTAGTGTGTTTGGTGGTGATTGATAATGATGCAGCCAAATGTGTAGGCTTGTGTTGTGTTTGCGCATTTATTTGAATTGTAGTTGTGTGCGTTGACAAGTATGAGTGCGAAAGGAATGGCAGTTTCAAACAAAAATTTCAAACCAGACATATGAATACAATAGAAAAACAAATAACATTATTTATGTCTCGCTCTTGCCAATGTTGGCATGCGTACAACTACATTAAAAAACTAAAAGAAAAAATCAATTGTATTCATTTTATGAGAATGATAAAATGTTGCGTACAACAACAAGGCAACAAGCAAATTGCTCACGCATTAAAATACTAAAAACTGTATAATTTTCTACTTCTCTAACAAAGCAAAATACTTTATAATTAAAAATTAGTGATATTATAAGAACTTCTAATCATTTTTATATGTGATGTTAAGAATATTAATACTTTTATAATAATTAAAATAAATTTATTACATACTTATTATTTCATGTTTATTATGAAAAATAATTTAACATTTACTAATAATATTAATGTAACTAATAAATGTATCAATTACTATTTATGCCATATCCCCATAACAATTAAAAAAATATTAATTAAGTTAAAAAAATTATATAAAATAATAACTATTTTTATACAAACTAAAATAATATCATACAATCAAAGCATTTAATAACTGCTAAATAACTTTTAAAATATTTGTATTATATAGCAAAGCAAACAGACAATTAAATAACTCCTACTTAAATGCTTAATTTAATAATATTTAATATACTAAAATTACTTATATTAGTAAATAATTGAGAAATTCTTATGTTATACTAATCAAATTAATATAATATGATCTTAATGTAGAACAAATTAATATACAGCACATAAGTTTTTTATTTTACAATCTGAAAAACCTAGAGGCGTCGATAAACACAAAACAAAATACCCCTACAGCATAAATATGCTGCAAAAACCAAATTCCAACAATTGTTTGCATTCTAAAAAATTTTTCTCCCCTCAGCAACGAAATGTATTCAGCATCGAACATGTATTCAACGCACTTAATATCTCAAAAACAAAAACAAAACACTAATAAAAAAATCCTATACACATGCATTTTTACATACATACACAAATAAACACACTTTCGTACGTTTGTGGTCGCGACCCAATGAAATAACTGTATTTAAATGGGCGTGAACAAACACCGCCATATAGTCAAAGCGTATTACCGGTAGGTGAATTGAGCAAGTGAAGTCACAATGAAGAAAAATTACTGAAGCAACAAAAACAAAATCAATGTGCCACACTTACACTACGACTGACTACATTTTGTTGTATCATTGTTTATGCATTTATTAAATAAATCTAATGGTATTTTTTTATAAATTTTAATTGTTTTCTTTATACTCTCTTGAGTTAGCTCTCTTTGTGTCTGAGAGCAAATGAAGTTGTTCATGTGATGATATTTTTTTTCTCTAAAAAAAACTAGGATTTAATTTTGTTGCTCTGATAAAATGTCTAATGGCAACTGCTGGCTGACTACTCGTGGGTTACATCGCATAGCTTTAATGTAGGACTACATACATATGAGAAGCGATAGCGGGGATGCGAGATGTAAATTTGCAATTTTTTTGTGGCTACATAATTTATGACGCCTGGAGACTGAATATACAGTGGCACATATTTGATACTTAATTTTCTCAATTTCTCTTAATCAACTCAATATTTTAGTTATATTAATAAGTAATAAATGTATTTTTTCTAAAGAGCATTGATAACAAAGACTTTAAGCTCAAATGTAGAATCTAATATAGAACATAATAATCAATATTGTTATTAAAACTATAGTTAAATAATAATGTGGTCTTTCGATCTGATTCGACATAATTAAATGGAGTAGACAGAAACGGAAGGAGTGAATCTGCATGTTCAAAGAATGGTAAAGGCAAAGTCGCGAGGTTACCCGGTCGACCGTCGAAGAGATGGCGTAAATGGCTGGCTCTATAGAAACATGATAATTTGAATATTATAATTTTACATAAATATATCCAAGTCAAAAGTTGTAACAAAACAGAGTTTAATGTTATTATAAAAAAAGAAGATCTGGTTCCCACATTTTTGGGGGCCATCAAGTGTGTAATACTGCATATATAAAAATCTTAATAATATTATATAAAGGAATACAATTTTTATGAGTATTATGAGGATTTTTTTTAATTTGTGTATGGCACCATACACAATATTCACCACTAATATTACTGGATCAGCCGTCCTACATGCTAAGCCATTAAATAGAAGTCGTTTATTTTTCAAGTAATGTTCATCATTATCATAAATGTGCTTAAAAGTACTCGTATAGCTAATAAATCCCACATCATATACATAACATCCATATATATATCAAACTAAATAAAAATTTAGGCGTGTATACTATAAAAATAGCTCTTGTAATTTTTTAATGATTAGCACAAATAATACAATATAACCTGTAATAATAATAACATAACTCAGCAGATATAACTCTTTTCAAGTTTCATTAAATATCCGCAAACTATTGATCACACCCTATAAAATATTAACACACTATATGATTCTCTACTGAAATCAGTTAAGCCCAACTGATTATTAGTCGCAATCCCTTTTTTCGCAGTTATAGTATGGAATGGGCATTAAAAAATCTCTTCCGATTTTATATAAATCTCTTCATTTCATCTACAATATATACTTTTCTTTGAAAGAATTCTTTCACTAACTCCACAAACAGTAGCCAGATTTGCAGGACAACCAAATACTCGTCTTTCTAACTTTTACTGTTCTCATAATTTTGAGTTTAAACTGTATATCAACTATTTGCTGGAATAGAACGATTAAAGCATTAGACGACTATGTTAGGTTCATCAACTATGAACTTCAGAAAAAGAAATATCGGAAAACCGAAATATCGGAGAAACACACAACACCAGATTCCTGATACTAACTATTACTATTACTAACTATTACTAGACTAACATTTAAAATATTAAGATTTTTAAAATCATCTTATATAAATTCTTCGTTTCTGAAGTACCTATAAAATAATTTTTATTAATAATTTTTAATAATAATTTTAGGACATCCTCTATCTTCATACTGACTCTCTAAATCCACAAATTAAAGTGAAATGCTGCAATATTTAATCAATTTAACTGCACTGACTTTAAGCAACATATATACACAAATGCTTAAAAGTCTATTTACTACTATCCTTGCTATTTCTTCGGGTCAAAGATTCTTTAATATGTGTAAATAGGTTTGTCTATTTTGATTTGTTTTGACCATTTCATTTAAACTTTATTGCCTGTTTGAAGCTAACATTTCGCCATACTCAAAAGTTATCCGGAGCGGCGATTGTGGGTGGCTACGTGAATATATCAACTTCAGTTCATTTCTGTATTTCAAGAAAAAACCCGCAAAAATATTCAATGTGCTCCATACCATAGAAAAAGTTTGAAAATAGTAGCTGCAGTAGGAATAAATAGACAAACACATTACTATTTATGAAAGCAAGAAAAAAAGACTTCAAGGATATTAAAAAGTGTTTTATGGGCTGCAATCGAAACGTTTTATCCGTAGTCTGATTATATTTATTAGACTGTGAAATTAAAAGAATCAGATTTAAAATTATGTAGAATTAAATTGTGTTTAAGATGGCCTACTTAAATATAAGGTAATATAATTTGAAATTTTAGTTGATAAGTAATAACATAACACCGGGCACATTCTAATATTAATAAAGTCGCCTTGGAAACAATGTATCAATTAAATATAACAAATCTTGGAACCAAGGTGAGCCGGTCTTTTTGCAGACAAACTGTCACTTGTAGCAAACCCAATTAATCCTTCACAAATAGCAAACACTGTCAATCAAAACGGACTTAGCATGCTTCCTACAGAGAAGTCTATATTATTAGCTAAATATAAAACTTGCTCCACAAAATACAAGGCAGGTGATCAAAAATCTATTTGACATATATTCTGAGATCAAGACTTCTCCTCTTCTTAAATGCTTGAACTCAATGATATGAAATAGCATGGGAAACATTTGAATCCTCTAAAAATTATGGAATGTATGAAATCCAATCAATGAAAAACATTCCATCTAATATCAAGTTTTATCTCCTCTAAGATGCGATAACATATATAGTTAATGAGATGAAGTATTCATGGAAATAGGGTGAAAAAACCTGCA